TAATCCAGAATCAATGCAGGGCAACAATCCTGGCTAAATGGGTGGTGTCTGACCACAAGACCCAGGGTGGGCAGTTCTGCTACGGTGGGCCATCACCATTTATTCTCCAGTAGGAGCCTATGACACTCTACAAAATGTGCCATGTGGCAAACTTAGGCCCCAATGAAGGAACACACAAGCTCTTCACCATTAGCCTTTCAGACTAACCCCCAAGTTAACAAAAACAGGGGTCCAAGGGAAGCAGTGCTCAAAAAGCATGAATGAAGTAGAGTTTCAAGGATGAAATGTCACTCAAACAATGGCCTATGATTTCTCTTTTATGCTGCAAATTATTTCAAACAAGATGTTTCAGTTAATAAATGACAAATTGGCCGGGCGCTGTGGCTTATGCCTATAATCCTAGCACTTTGGGAGGCCAAGGTGGGTGGATCATCTGAGGTCAGGAGTTCAAGACCAGCCTGGCCATCATGTTGAAACCCCATCTTTAAAAATAAATAAATAAAATAAATGACAAATTTTCAAAGAAAGCTCTAAAATGATAATAACCTCCAAAAATATCCGGATTTTTTAAAAATCTCAATTATTTTAAAAGTTACACCAGACTGAAGACAGGTATGATTTTATGACTGAGGCCCAAACTCTGCCATGAAGACAAATTTAGAGGTTGAACACTCACCATAAATATCTCCTTCTTCATCCTTCTTTCTTACAAAATATGATTTAGGTTCCAGCAACACAGGTGGCATAAAATATTTTAATTAAAACCCTGAAATTGGGCCAGGCGCGGTGGCTCAAGCCTGTAATCCCAGCACCTTGGGAGGCCGAGGCGGGTGGATCACGAGGTCAAGAGATCGAGACCATACTGGTCAACATGGTGAAACTCCGTCTCTACTAAAAATACAAAAAAAATAGCGGGGCATGGTGGCACGTGCCTGTAATCCCAGCTCCTCAGGAGGCTGAGGCAGGAGAATTGCCTGAACCCAGGAGGCGGAGGTTGCGGTGAGCCGAGATCGCGCCATTGCACTCCAGCCTGGGTAACAAGAGCGAAACTCCGTCTCAAAAAAAAAAACCCTGAAATTTCTGAAAGGCAAAAGAAACATCTGTCAAAAAAAAAGAACCATATAAAATACTCCAAGTCACTGTTACTTTTAATCAGAGAACATAACCGATTATGCAATAGCTGCAAAGATCTGATGTGCTACAACCATGCTATGCTGTAATCCTTTACCTGAGACGTTCCAAGAATATACAGATTACTGTTTTAAACAGGTGTCTCAAAGAATCTTGATGATCACACTGAATAAACATGAATAAATATGTACAAAACTTAACCAAAAAAGCATTTAAACTAGCCCCAAATTATCTGTATTAAATGTTAAAATCCAAACTATGTCCTCCACAGGCTTTTATTAAAATGAATGACAGTTCCAATGTTGCTCAATGAAAGAAGTAAACATAACATTTTGCTGTCAGTGATGGACTAAGGTTTATTATCCTTAATTAATAAAGAGTGAGGCTGGGCAACGTGGTTCCTGCCTGTAATCCCAGCACTTTGGGAGGCCAAGGCGGGTGGATCAACTGAGGTCAGGAGTTCAAGACCAGCCTGGCCATTGTGGTGAAACCCCATCTTTTAAAAAAAAAAAAAAAAAGAAAGAAAGAAGAAAAAAATTTTTTGAGATAAGGTCTTGCTTGCTCCATCACCTAGGGTATAATAGAGTGGTATGATCATGGCTCACTGCACTTCAAACTCCTGAGGTAAAGCAATTCTCTCACCTCAGCCTCCAGAGTAGCTGGGACTACATACAGATATGTGCCAGCATGCCTGGCTTATATATATATATATATATATTTTTTTTTTTCTTTTTTTTTAAGATGGGGTTTCACCATGTTGGCCAGGCTGGTCTTGAACTCCTGACCTCAGGTGATCCACCCACCTTGGCCTCCCAAAGTGCTAGGATTACAGGCGTGAGCCACCACGCCCGGCTTATTTTTTTTAATTTTTAGAGAGATAGGGATCTCCCTGTGCTGCCAGCTGGCCTCAAACTCTTGGGCTCAAGAGATCCTACCACTTCAGCCTCCCAAGGTGTTCGGATTACAGACATGTGTATCCTAAAACTTAAAGTATAATAAAATATAAATAAATAATATTAAAAATTAAAGAAAATATAAAGGATAAATTTTAAAAAGCACAATAGAAAAAATAACTGATATGCTAAAATGCTGATAATACAATTAAGTGAAAAGGCAGGTTAGAACAAAATCTTCAGTACATTCACATCTTAGTAAAGTATGCCTTGTTACATATGACTAAACAGAAATCCAAGAGGAGTCTACCATAAAATCCCAACGATTCCTCCCAGACATGAACTAACAGATAATTTTATTTTCTTCCTTTTGCTTTCCAAGGATTTTCCAAATCTTCTAAAACTAAGATTACTTTTATTTCTTCCTTTTTTAAAAAACACAGTCTCACGTGGGAGGATGAGGTAGGAGAGTTGCTTGGACCAGACCTGGGAGACAGAGGTTGCCGTGAGCCGAGATCACGCCGCTGCCCTCCAGCCTGGGATACAGAGACTCCAACTCAAAAACAAAAAACAAAAAACAGTCTCACTCACTGTCACCCACGCGGGAGTGCAGTGGTGAGATCTCAGCTCACTGCAATCACTTCCTCCCAGGTTCAAGTGATTCTTCTGCCTCAACCTTCCAAGTAGCTGAGATTACAGGCATGTGCCACCACCCCCAGTTAATTTTTGTAATTTTAGTTGAGATGAAATTTCATCATGTTGGCCAGGCTGGTCTTGAACTTCTGGCCTGAAGTAATCTGCCAGCCTCAGCTCCCCAAAGTGCTAGAATTATAGGCGTGAGCCACTGCATCTAGCCTAAGATTATTTTTATAATCAGAAGAAATATTACTTAAGTTTTTGTTAGTCTTTCGAACTCTTCCTGTGGAAATGCTACTAAATGGATAATCAAAAAAATGATTGTGATAGAAAAGGCCCTTGGTGCTGCATGAGCACATGGAAGTCACTCAGTGAGATAGAAACTCAGTTTCTGTGGAGAATGGACTGCAGCGACACAGAATAAACCTGGGAAAGACCCAATTTCCTCTGCAGGATGAACCACAGGGGCGTGCACAGCACCCCTGTCACCCGAGGGTGAGGGGACACCAGGAGGCACCCCAGGGAGGAGGGCGGCAGGGCACAGCTGGGGGAAAGCTCTGGAAAGGTCAGAGCCTGGGTTGATCCTGTTCAGATTTCTGCCTCTTTCTGCTCCTCCTCTATCAGAGCTGCTCACACTGTCTCCTTTTCTCAGACCCCAAGGCTTAAGTGACGAGTCGTTATTGAACCAGAGACCGGGGTGCACAGGACAAGCCCTGGTGTTACAAGGTGCTGTATAGGCTGGACTCAGTGGTTCATGCCTGTAATCCCAGAACTTTTGGTGGCCGAGGTGGGCGGATCACGAGGTCATGAGTTCAAGACCAGCCTGGCCAATGAGTATAGAGGTATGCGCCCAGTTCTTGGGAGTCTGAGGCAGAAGAATTGCTTCAACCTGGGAGGCAGAGGTTGCAGTGAGCCAATGTCATGTCATGAACTCCAGCCTGGTGGACAAAGCAAGACTCTGTATCTTAGAACCACAGGGGACTCACAGTGGTTTCATTCCATCAAATAAATTATTTTTGGATAGTGTAAATACAGGATTTGATGAAAACAGTCCTAAGTTCAAATAATTGAAATTGATAGCAAGACATAGATACAACAGTTTATTTACTTTTTGATTTAGGGTCTCCCTCTGCTGCCCAGACTGGAGTGCGATGGCATAATCAGGACTTACTGCAAACTTGACCCCCCAGGTTCAAGTGATCCTCCCACCTTAGCTTCCTGAGTAGCTGGAACTACAGGTGCTGTCACCTGGCTAGTGTGTTTGTGTGTGTGTGTGTGTGTGTAGATGAAGTCTCCCTGTGTTGCCCAGGCTGGTCTGGAGCTCCAGGACTCAAAGGATCTTTCTGCTTGGGTCTCTCAAATGCTGGAATTGCAGGTGTGAGCCATCAAGCCCAGCCTTGAATTCTTAAAATTATCTGTAGCACCTGTGAATACAGTTTGTGACCTCTACACGAACTTTAAAGTCATAATTGGCATTCAACTGAGAACATTGTAGCAGAGTTAGGTTTTTGCAGACATCTCAGTTAGCCATAAATATTCACTAAACAATGACTCTTTTCAGGGCCCAGTGCTGTATACAAAGATACAGTTTCCTTAGTAGTTGTCTATATCCCATTAACTATGATCATTTGAATAGAAGGTGCCTGGGTGAGGGGTCATCAATTCCAGTATCTAATTCAGACAATGCCGACAGGCCATCTGGGGTCAACCTCATTTGCACTCTAAGCTATGGTTGCCAATTCTTTCTGAGTAACACTTTATAAACATACTCCCTGGTAAAGAAGGCAGAAAGCTACATTACAAGTAAAACTAAACATCAGTTCCAAATGTAAATTGTTTGACAACAAAAAAATACAATTAAACAATAGCAGGAATGGGCTGGGCAGAGTGGCTCAAGCCTGTAGCCCCAGGACTCTGGGAGGCTGAGATGGGCGAATGACTTGAGATCAGGAGGTTGAGGCCAGTCTGGGTAACATGGTTAAAACCCGGTCTCTACTAAAAAAAAAAAATACAAAAATTACCCAAGTGTGCCTTTAATCCCAGTTATTCAGGAGGCTGAGGCCCGAGAATCACTTGAACCCAGAAAGCAGAGTTTGCAGTAAGCTGTGATTGTGCCACTGCACTCCAGTCTGGGCCACAGCATGACACCCTGTCTCCAATAAATAAATAAATAATCAACAGTGAAGAGCTTTGAAAAACAGATATATGTGAGGGTGGGTACAGTGGCTTGTGCCTATAATCCCAGCACTTTGGGAGGCTGAGGTGGGTGGTTAACCTGAGGTCAGGAATTTGAGACCAGCCTGGCCAACATGGTGAAACCTCGTCTCTACTAAAAATACAAAAATTACCTGGCAGGGGAGATACCACGATCATGAAGGTGGTTTTCCCAGGGCGAGGCTCATCCATTGCACTCCGGATGTGCTGACCCCTGCAATTTCCCTAGGTGTGGGAAACTAGACTGCATAGTTTGTGGTAGTGGGGACTGCACTTGCGCTTTCCTCTGATAAAAAATAAAAATAAAAAAATTAGCCAGGCGTGGTAGTACATGCCTGTAGTTCCAAATACCTGGGAGGTTGAGTGAGGAGAATTGCTTGAACCAGGAGGCAGAAGTTGCAGTGAGCTGAGATCACGCCACTGCACTCCAGCTGGGTGACAGAGCAACACTGCATATTAAAAAGAAAGAAAGAGAGAGAGAGAGAAGGAAAGAAGGAAGGAAGGAAGGAAGGAAGGAAGGAAGGAAGGAAGGAAGGAAGGAAAGAGAAAGAAAGAAAAAAAGAAAGAGAAAGAAAGAAAGGAAAGAAAGAAAGAAAGAAAAAGAAAGAAAGAAAGAAAGAAAGAAAAAGAAAAGCTGGAAATTTTTTTTTCTTTAAAAATAAAGATGGGGATCTGGCTTTGTCAACCAGCCTGCTGTCCAACTCCTTGCTTCAAGTGATCCTACTGTCAGCCTCCCAAAGCGTTGTAGGTATGAGCCACCACACCTGGCCTAGCCAGGAAATATTTGCACCTGATCTAGGAGGTTGTATTAAGTATCTTCAAATTTCTTTTACATTCTGAGCCAGGTGCTGTGGCTAACACCAGTAATCCCAGCACTTTGGAAAGCTAAGGGAGGCAGATTACCTAAGGTCAAGACTTTGAGACCAGCCTGGCCAACAAGGTGAAACCCCATTTCTACTAAAAATACAAAAATTAGTCAGGCATGGTGGTATGCATCTGTAATCCCAGCTATTCAGGAAGATGAGGCAGGAGAATCGCTTGAACCCAGGAGGGAGAGGTTGTGCAGTGAGCCAAGATCTCACCATTGCACTCCAGCCTGGGCGACAAGAGCAAAACTCCGTCTCAAAAAAAAAAAAAAAGGTCTTTAACGTTCTGTCTTTATTCATCCATCCTGGAGAAATCAAAACTAGATATTACAGGGATGGCTTAGAGAACAAACTGGAAAAGTGGACCCAGTACTGTTGTTTAAATTTAAAATGAAGTGTTTAGACATATATAATATTTTGCTATTTTCCACATTAATTCACTTCTTCAATAACTAAACATCTATGATTTCCTAACACATAAAGTAAATATATACAGCTTCTAAGAACATGGTATAACCCCAGTGCTTACGTGAGCCCAAGAGTTTGAGACCAGCCTAGGCAACATAGGGAGATCCTGTCTCTAGAAAACAATTTTAAGTAAATTAGCTGATCATGGTGGGATGCACCTGTGGTCCCAGCTACTTGGGAGGCTGAAGTGGGAGGATCATCTGAGCCCAGGAGCTCAGGGCTGCAGTGAGCTATGATTGTGCCCCTGCACTCCAGCCTGGGTGACAGAGTAAGATCCTGTCTCAAAAAATTAAATAAATAACAAAGTATGGTAGAAAAAAATGACTGATATGCTAAAATACTGATAATACATTTAGGTGAAAAGGAAGATTAGAACAAAATCTTCAGTACATTCACATCTTAGTAAAGTATACCTTGTTACATATGACTAAATAGAAATCCAAGAGGAGTCTACTTCAAAATCCCAACAATTCCTCCCAGATGTGAACTAACAGATAATTTTATTTTCTTCCTTCTGCTTTCCTTGGATTTCCCAAATCTTCTAAAACTAAGATTACTTTTATTTCTTTCTCTTTTTTTTGAAACAGAGTCTCACTCACTCACCAAGGCTGGAGGACAGTGGGGGCCATCGCGGCTCACTGCAACCTCCGCCACCCAGGTTCCTGCCTGAGCCCTCCACGTAGCTGGAATTACAAGTGTGTGTCACCATGCCTGGCTAATTTTTCTATTTTTAGCAGAGACAAGGTTTCACCATGTTAGCCAGGCTTGTCTTGAACTCCTGGCTTCAAATGATCTGCCTGCCTAGGCCTCCCAAAGTGTTGGGATTACAGGCGTGAGCCACCACATCTGGCCTAAGATTTTATTTATTTATTTATGAGACAGAGTCTTGCTCTTTCACCAAGATGAAGGGCAGTTGCACGGTCTCTGCTCACTGCAACCTCCTGGGTTCAAGCGATTTCCCTGCCTCAGGCTCCTGAGTAGCTGGGAGTACAGGCGCGTGCCACCACACCCAGCTAATTTTTATTTTGTATTTTAGTAGATACAGGTTTTACCATATTGACCAGCATGGTCTGAATCTCCTGACCTCATGATCTGCCCACCTCTGCCTCCCTAAGTGTTGGGATTACACACGTGTGAGCCACAGCACCCGGCCAGATTATTTTCATAATCAGAGGAAATACTACTTAAGTTTTTGTTAGTCTTTCAAACTCTTCCTGTGGAAATGCTACTAAATGGATAATCAAAAAATGATTGTGATAGAAAAAGCCCTTGGTGCTGCATGAGCACATGGAAGTCACTCAGTGAGATAGAAACTCAGTTTCTGTGGAGAATGGACTGCAGCGACACAGAATAAACCTGGGAAAGACCCAATTTCCTCTGCAGGATGAACCACAGGGGCGTGCACAGCACCCCTGTCACCCGAGGGTGAGGGGACACCAGGAGGCACCCCAGGGAGGAGGGCGGCAGGGCACAGCTGGGGGAAAGCTCTGGAAAGGTCAGAGCCTGGGTTGATCCTGTTCAGATTTCTGCCTCTTTCTGCTCCTCCTCTATCAGAGCTGCTCACACTGTCTCCTTTTCTCAGACCCCAAGGCTTAAGTGACGAGTCGTTATTGAACCAGAGACCGGGGTGCACAGGACAAGCCCCTGTGTTAAAAGGTGCTGTTTCCTAGAACCACTGGGGACTCACAGTGGTTTCTTTCCATCAAATAAATTCTTTTTCAATAGCGTAGATACAGGATTTGATTAAAAGAGTCCTGAGTTCAAATAATAGAATTTGACAGCAAGACATAGATACAACAGTTTATTTAGTTTTTTGACAAAGGGTCTCCCTGTGTTGCCCAGACTGGAGTGCAGTGGCATAATCAGGACTTACTGCAACCTTGATCTCCCAGGTTCAAGTTTTCCTCCCCCCTTAGCTTCCTGAGTAGCTGGGACTACAGGCGCTGTCACCACACCTGGCTAATTTTTATTTATTTATTTATTTGTTTTGTGGAGATGGGGTCTCCCTATGTGGCCCAGGCTGGTCGAAAACTCCTGGACTCAAACGATCTTCCTGCTTGGGTCTCCCAAAGTGCTAGAATTGCAGGTGTGAGTCACCCTGCCCAGCCCTGAATTCTTAAAATTATCTGTAGCACCTGTGAATAGAGTCTGTGAACCGTTTAAGAACTTTGAAGTCATCATCGGCATTCACCTGAGAATCTTGTTGCTGACTTAGGCTTTTGCAGGAATCTTAGCCGGCCATAAATACTCACTCAGTGCTGGCACTGTCCCAGGCCCTGTGCTGCGTGCAACGGTGCAGACTTGATGGGATTTTCACCATCCCACTAACCACAGTCATTTGAATAGAATGTGCCTGGGGGTGAGGGGTCATCAACTCCAATATCTAATTCAGACAATGCCTACTCCCAGCCCATCTGGCACCAACCCCATAGGCACTTCTAAGCCATGGTTGCCAACTCTCTCTGAGCAACATTTGAGAAACCTCGTCCAAGATAAACAGCAGAAAGCTATACTGCAAACCAAGCTAAATATCAATTGCAAATGTACATTTTCTAATTGTCTGACAATGAAAAAAATACAATGTAGATAATAGCAGGAATGGGCCGGGGGGCCATGGCTCATGCCTGTAACCCCAGCACTTTGGGAGGCTGAGGTAAGTGGATCACTTAAGGTCAGGAGGTAAAGACCAGCCTACCTAATATGGCAAACCTGGTCTCTACTAAAAAAAAAAATAAAAAAATTAGCTGAGCATCATGGCTTGTGTCTGTAATACCAGTTACTCGGGAGGTTGAGGCCAGATAATCACTTGAACCCAGAAAGTGGAAATTGTAGTGAGCCGAGATTATGCCACTGCACTCTAGCCTGGGTGACAGAGTGAGACCCTGTCTTCAAAAAATAAGTCTATAAGCCGGGCGCGGTGGCTCAAGCCTGTAATCCCAGCACTTTGGGAGGTTGAGGCGGGTAGATCACGAGGTCAAGAGATCGAGACCATCCTGGTCAACATGGTGAAACCTCGTCTCTACTAAAAATACAAAAAATTAGCTGGGCATGGTGGCGCGTGCCTGTAGTCCCAGCTACTCAGGAGGCTGAGGCAGGAGAATTGCCTGAACCCTGGAGGCGGAGGTTGCGGTGAGCCGAGATTGCGCCATTGCACTCCAGCCTGAGTAACAAGAGCGAAACTCCACCTCACAAAAAAAAAGGAGAATAATAAGTCTATAAATAAATAATACCAAGAGTTAAGAGCTTTTAAAAACATATACGTGAGGCTGGGTGTGATGGCTTATGCCTGTAATCCCAGCACTCTGGGAGGCCAAGGTGGGCGGATCACCTGAGGTTAGGAGTTTGAGACCAGGCTGGCCTACATGGTGAAACCCCATCTCTACTAAAAATACAAAAATTAGCCAGGCATGGTGGCAGGCACCTGTAATCTCAGCTACTCAGCAGGCTGAGAAAAGAAAATTGCTTGAGCCCAGGATTCAGATGTTGCAGTGAGTCGAGATCATGCCATTGAACTCCAGCCTGCACAAACAAGAGCAAGACTCCATCTCAAAAACAAACAAACAAAAAAAACAATATGCCAGGAGCAATGGCTCAGGCCTATAATCTTAGGAGGCCTAGGTGGGTGGATCACAAGGTCAGGAGTTTGAGACCATCCTGACCAACATGGTGAAACCCAGCTTCTACTAAAAATATGGCCTGGCATGGTGTCAGGCAACTGGAATCCCAGATATTCAGGAGGTTGAGGCAGGAGAATCGCTTGAACCCAGGAGGCAGAAGTTGGAGTGAGCCGAGATCATGCCACTGTACTCCAGCCCAGATGACAGAAGATCAGGAGTTTGAGACTAGCCTGACCAGCTTGGTGGCGAGCACCTGTAGTTCCAGGTATTTGGGAGGCTAAGGCAGGAGAATCACTTGAACCCAGGAGGTGGAGGTTGCAGTGAACTAAGATTTATA